CAAGTCATCTTCACTTTCAGCAAGGAAGATTGCATCATCTGCATGTTGCTGGCTGTTAATGTGTCTTCCTCCAATCCTGATACCATATTCTTCTTCATATAATCCAGCTTCTCAGATTATTTGCTCAGCATTCAGATTGAATAAGTGTGGTGAAACAATATACTCTGATCAAACCTTTCCTGATTTTAAACTGTGCAGTATCCCCTCGTTCTACTCAAATGACTGCCTCTTAGTCTATGTACAGGTTCCTCATGAGCACAATTCAGTGTTCTGCAATTTCTGTTTTTCACAATGTTATACATTATTTGTTATAATCACAGTCAAATGCCTTGCATAGTCAATGAACACAAGTAAAGATCTTTCTGGTATTCCTTGCTTTTAGCCAAGATGCATCTGACATCACTAATGATATCCCTCATTCCATGTTATTGTCTGAATCCAGCTTGAATTTCTGAAAGTTTTCTGTCAATATGCTGCTGAAACCCTTTTTGATTTTCAGCAAAATTTTACTTGTGTGCAATATTAATGACACTCTTCAATAATTCCTGCATTCTGCTAGATCACCTTTCTTTGGAATGGGCACCCTTATTGATCTTCTCAAGTCAGTTGGCCAGCTAACTGTCTTCCAATTGTCTTGGCATAAACAAGTGAGCACCTCTAACAATGCATCTGTTTGCTGAAACATCTCAATGGTATCCCATCCATTCTTGGATTCTTATTTTCTGCCAATTCCTTCAGTAGAGCTTGGAGTTCTACCTTCAATATAACTTGTTCCTGATCATATGCTCCCTCCTGAAATTGTTGAACATTAAGCAATTCTTTTTGATAGAGTGACTCTGTGTAGTCCTTCCATATTCTATTGATGCTTCTTACACTGTTCAGTATTTTTGCACATAGAATCCTTCAATATTGCAACTCAAGGCTTAAATTTTCCTTTAGTTCTTTCAGCTTGAGAAATGCCCAGCATGTCCTTCTCTTTTCATTTTCTATCTTCAGGTCTTTGCACATTTCATTATAGTACTAATTGACTGTCTTCTCGAGCTGCTCTTTGAAATCTTCTATTTAGCTATTTTATCTTGTCATTTCTTCCATTTGTTTTAGCTACTCTTTATTCAAGATCAAGTTTCTGGATTTCTTCTGACATCCACTTTGGACTTTTCTTCCTTTCCTGTCTTTTAAATAACTTTTTGCTTTCTTCATGTATGATGTTCTTGATATCATCTCACACATCATCTGGTCTTTGGTCACTAGTGTTCAAAATGTCTAATCTCTTCTTCAGATGATTTCTAAACTCAGTTGAGATATTTTCAAGGTCACATTTTGGCTCCCATGGACTTGTTTTAATTTTCTTCAGCTTCAACTTATGAGCAGTTGATGGTCTGATCAACAGTCTGCCCCTGGCCTGGTTCTGACTAATGATACTGAGCTCTCCATCACTCTTTCCATAGATGTAGTCAATGTGATTCCTGTTTATTCTGTATGGCAAGGTCCACATGTATAATTGCCTTTTCTGTTTTTTAGAAAAGGTATTATGATTAATAAGTAATTGGTCATACAAATTCTTTCATGTGACCTCTTGCATCATTTCTACATCAAGGCCATATTTTACAAATACTGATGCTTCTTCTTTGTTTCCAACTTTCCATTCCAATCACCAGTAATTATCAATACATCTTGTTTGCATGTTTGGTCTATTCAGACTGCAGATGTTGATAAACGTCTTCAATTTCTTGATCTTTGGTGTTAGTGGTTAGTGCATGAAGTTAAATAAAATTCATATTACTTGGTCTTCTTTGTATGGATATTATCTGATCACTGACAGCATTTATATCAGGACAGACCTCAAAACATTATTTTTGACAGTAAATGCAACACCATTCATCTTCGTCATTGGCTGCATAACAACCTTGTAATTACCTGATTCAAAATGGTCAATACTAGTTCATTTCAAGGAGCTCTGGTGGTGTAGTGCCTAAGGCATTTGACTACTAACCAGAAGGCTGGTGGTTCAACCCCAGCAGCCACTCCTCGGAAGGAAGGTTGGGCAATCTACTTCTGTAGTGACACTGCCTCGGAAATCCAAGGAGGGATCGCTATGAATCGGATCCAACTTATGGTAGTGAGTTAGTCCATTTCAGGTCACCAATGTCTAGGATATTGATCATTATGCATGCTACTTCATTTTTTACAACTTCCAATATTCTTAGATTCATACTTCTTACATTCTATGTTCCAATCATTAATGGATGTTTACAGCTGTTCCTTCTCATTTTGAGTCATGCCATATCGACAAATGAAAGCTTTACTCCATCCACATCATCAAGGTCGACTCTATGTTGAGGAGGCAGCTCTCACCCAGTCATACTTTGAATGCCTTCCAACCTGAGAGGTTCATCTTCCAGCATTATATTAGATGATGTTTCCCTGCTATCCATGAGATTTTTTGTGCCTACTTTTTTTTTTTTTCTCAGAAGGGGAACTGGCCACATACTTCTTCCTAGTCTGTCTTAGTTAGGGAGCTCTGCTGAAACCTGTCCACCAAGAGCAGCCCTGCTGGTATTTGAAATACTGGTGGCAAAGCTTCCAGAATCAAAACAACATGCAAGCCACCACAGTATGACAAACTGACATGAGGATGGGTTAAAGTTTCTCAATAAAATCATATTATCTAGCTTGTCCTTTGGACAAAAGATAATACTTACAGAAGAAAAGCATTCAAAATTCATAAAATATATATGAATCTATACAAAGGACCTGCTCAAAAATAAGAACATAATAGACCCTATCTGACCAACATGTATTAAATATTAATTGTTCCCTTTGCTTTTCTGCATCTGTCTGGGTTTTATAAAGGACAAAAAATAATAATTGCATAGCAATCACACAAGAGCCACATGCTCTGTTTCTAAAACTGACTAGCTATGGTCAGCAAGCACTACTAATGTCTTTAACCTTCTGATGATATCACAGTTGATATTTATCTTTTTATAAAAATACAAATCAGTGTTTATTCCCTGAAGCTAACCTCAGTCATGCTAAATTATTTATGTATCCAATTTAATATGTATTTTGCAAGTGACAGGACAACTCTCCTTAGAACCCTTTTTCTGACCCACCTGTCATTATGATGGGGTAAACAATGTCACCTTTCCAGTGCACAATGAATTACAAAGAAGTTGCAAAGTACACTATCCATCATGCTGGCACTAAGTAGGCTTCCCACTCAGATATCACAAATGCTGTTTAGACTGTATGTAACCAGAAAGCAAAAATTGGAAGCTTATGCAAACAGTCAAATGATGAATGGACATGACAGCTTTTCAAAGACATGGGGCACTCCTCTTCCACAAATAACCTTGTCAAAAGCAAAAGCAGTAGAGAGCTTTGCTCGCAGTCAGACTAGAATAATTTAAGAATGTGTTAATGGTTCTGCCTGATAGAAATTCATGCAAACACAATGTACTCAAAATCAAATAGGAGGTATGCCTGAATCATCAGCAGCAACTACTCAACTTGATTTGAATTAGGGACTGGTCTGAAGAGACATAGAAAAATCTCCAGTCTCTATTAATTAAAATGTATAAATATCAATAATATACTTATCCAAAACTTTTATATAAAATATTTGCAAGTGTTCTATTGTCATCTAGAAATCTCTTTGCTTTGAAAATCATACTAATATAGCTTGAGACTGAAAAAATTAGTGTTAATAACATATGATATCCTTTGTTGATATAAGTTTTCAAATTATTATATACTTATATAATAGATTTGCACAATTAATAGAATTGTAAAAATATTTATTGTCAGTGTCTTCATCTAATTTGCATGGTTAATTTCTCCAAATACGTTTTGAAATACAATGTGTTTGTTTCATCCACAACTGCATTTTAATTCCTTTAACAGCTCCTTTTATTTAGACGAAATATTTCAAAAATAAAATGTAATTTAATATCCATTTTCTGTTTTAATAGTTCCTATATATTAAATCTTTTATAGCTTTTCTTTATTAAGAAAAAAATCCCTTTTGTAGCATTTACTAATGGTGAGGAGGGTTTCAAATGATGATTTTTTACAGGCATTTGGAAAATTCCATGGTTCTGTGAGAGACCTTAGTTTTATATGAAACAAAGAAACCATTTAAACATTTATAACTGAAAAATGTGTAGAAAACTCTCATATGTATGGTTACACAGGAACATTAAAAACTTGGTTTCATTAACAAAATTAAAAAAAAAAAAAAAAACTCACTGCTGTCAAGTTGACTCCAACCACAGCAACCCTTCCTTGGGTTTCTGAGGTGGTATCTCTATGAAAGTAGGTTGTCCAGTCTTCCTTTCAAGGAGTGGCTGGTGGATTTGAATGGCCAGCCTTCTGGTTAGCAGTCAAATGCCTTAGGCACTATGCGAACAGCTGATAAGCGGGGGAGCTGTGATTTGAAACTAGGGAGGGTGGCTTCAGAGGCTGTGCCTTAAAGTACTATGTAAAAACAAAGAAAGAACACTGCACCAAGAAAACAACCTACCATTAAAGGCAGAGAAATAATCCATACCTGGCCACCCTGCCCAAGTGTTTCAAATATGAATGTGTGAATAATGACATCAACTTTTCACCTCATTTCCTCGGTGCATACACAATCTAAAAACACATTCTGTCCATTGTTATTCCTTGTATCCATATCAATGCGTTAAAATTTGCCTCTTCAAAACTGTAGAATGAAATGAACTTGCACTATGTCGACCAAGTAAAATTGTGAATGACTGAGTCACACATTCAACACCTTTGAATTAAATTCTCCTAACATGTTTTCACTTCCAAATATGACAAGAAAGGGTCAGGCAATTCAAACTTCCCTTCTCCTTTTCCAAGGCATCCACACAGAGAACATTTACTGGTTGCTTTTGTTATGTTGCCTCTTGCCAGTTAGTTCAATTTAGATGAAAGCCATTGTTTTCTAATTCCATTTCACTGTAAATGACAGAGACAAATGGTCATATTACCTCGAGAGTTCCTTTGGCAGAATAGGCTGCATATGAGTAGAGCAGATCTTGGCTGCTATCTTTTCTGGCTTCTTCACCACACAGCTGGCCATTAGCATTAAAGCATTGACCACTGCTCCTCAGAGTCAGGGTGCTGGGAGAAGAGCCCGGTAGATTAAACAGCACAGAGTAATTTACAAACTGTACATCTTCTAGGCCCAAAGAAGTCCATTGGGTCTTAAGCTTCTTTGCAATTTCTGTGTCATCTTCACTTTTATACAGCTGTATCAAATCTCTGAAAGAAAAGTTAAAAAGCACACTTTACAAAAAGGAAATCTTTATTCCTTTGAGATATGACTGTTCAATAAAAGGGCAATTATTAAAAGATATTGTGGGGTGCTGAAAGATGAATGAGATAGGATCCTCTCACAAGAAGCTCACAATTTGGTAGAGATGATGTGCTTGTGTAGAAATTAGACTAAATCAAAGAAGAATAAATTAGGTATTTAAATCAAAGAACTAAAATAGCACTATGGGATTATAGAAAAGGAGCTCTTAATGCCCACCAGTTTATTTTTCATTTCCGATCCTCCTATCAACATCAACATAATCCATTTAAAACTCAGTTCTACCTCCACAACCATGAGAACAAAAGAACTACATAGTGCCGGACTATCATTTTTGCCATTCTGAAAAGTTTCTCAATAGGAGGTCCTAGATAGAGTGGGAGAAAAATGTGGAATAAAACTCAGAATCACAAATAAAAGACCAGGCTGGTCGGCCTAATAGAGACTGGTGGAACCACCAAGATTATGGCCCTTAGAGATACTTCAACCTTGGAACTGAACTCATCCCATGGCTCAACTTTCAGCCAAAGCATAGACAGGCCTATCAGGTGAACAATAACACCAGGGAAGTATATACTTCTTAAAACAATCAACTATAGGAGATCCAAAGGGCAGCATTTGCCATGGGATAAAGCTTAAAAGGCAGGAAGGGATAGAAAAGAAGGAAGAATGGAAATGTGAAACACAGAGGAAGTGGGAAGAGTGTCATTGCACTGTGGGGATCACAATCAATGTCACTAAAAAAAATTGTGTGTGAATTGCTGAATGGAAAATCAAATTGCTCTGTAAACTTTCAACCAAATCACAATAAAAAGTTTTTTAAAAAATAAAATAAATAAAACTCAGGTCTAAAACCAGTTGTCATATTGAGACAGTTCTGCATTGCAGTCACTGTGAGCCTATATAAAGCAATGTGATTATATATGACACAAATGGTTAAGTGCTTAACTACTAATCTTACATTTTGTGGTTCAAAACCATCCAAAAGAACCATGGAAGAAATTCTTGTCAATCTGTTTCTGAAAAGTCACAGCTTTGAAAACTCTGAGGAGCAGTTCTACCCTGTATACTTGGAGTCTCCATGAGTCAGAATCAACTCAACAACAACTGGTTAACTAGTTGCTACTATTTTAAATGCAGAGAAGTCTCTTTAAGTACAAATTAAATGTCAGATTAAGAGATGCTATGAGCACAATGGTATTCAATAAAGTCAGTATGTCATGGTAAAACCCAGATTGCTAAATCAGTACGAATTTTTTTGAGTCATGTTTTTTGTAGTCTATAAATTTATTCCTATACCTGTTCTGTAATCCACAGTGATACCACCTACTTATTTTATATTGATTTAGCAAGATTATATATAAAGCGTCTTCCATGCATTATTTAAAACAGCAATAACTAGTTAACGATTTATTGGTGAATTGATTCTGACTCATGGTGATTCCATGTGAGCAGAGTAGAAGTGCTTCATAGGGTTTTCAAAGCTGTGCAGATACATATGTAGGCTGGGATGAAAGGGATCAAGTATACCTCACAAACACCAGCTTCCTTTTTGGGCAAAATTTTTCTTCTTATAAGAATTGTAATATTATGCAAGCTGTTACCTAAGTATTTTGATATTATTATTTTTACCTATTATGATTATTTTTCTCAAACATAGAAACTTGTGATTCTTCAGGCCTTGTTTACCTGAGCACCCAAATACAGAACACATCTAGAAAAGAAATTAGAAGCACACACAGTAGTGTAGAAAATATCACTAGGAACAGAAAGTAGGTCTGTTGACAGTTTAGATAGAAGCTGGCCTATATGGGAAGATGAAATAGTAAACTGCTTTAGTTCTCATAAGGAGCTCTACTGTTGTGGTTAAGGCTGCTAACCAAACCATCAGTGGTTCAAACCCACCAGCTGCTCTGAAAAAAGACCCATGAGGAGGTCTCCTACTATAAAGACTGACAGCCTTGGAAACCCAGTAGGAGTCTCTATGAGTCAGGAATGAGTTTCCTAGGCCCTTCCCCCCACCACTACCAGCAGTTCCCATCTATCTTTTTTAAGGCTACTCCCATTCCTTTTCTTTTTTTAATCAGTGCCACTTAACATTTATGGAAGAGCTGATTATCATTTCATTTTTATTGTTTTATCTGAGTAAGACTCCTTTACCTTCTACAACATTCAATTCTAACTTTAGCCGGTCACCTACTCCCCACCCTCATTTGTTACTGTTACTGAAATTCTAAGATTGTCCCCTTTGAGATATGGCAGATTACCCCATTGAGTTTAAACTTAACTCTCAATTTGATAAGAATGTCATTTAGAAAGGTACACTAATAACATTCTTTTGAAATATATACAAAGTGGATTGCAGAATATATAGTTTATTTGTACAGTTGTTGTTGTTGTTGTTATGTGCCGTCGAGTCGGCCCCGACTCATAGCGACCCCTCCTTGGGTTTCCGAGGCAGTATCACTACGGAAGTAGGATTGCCCAACCTTCCTTCCGAGGAGTGGCTGGTGGGTTTGAACCGCCAGCCATCTGGTTAGCAGGCAAGTGTCTTAGCCACTATGCTACCAGAGCTCCCTTATTTGTACAGAGTTAGCTGTAAATGATCATGAGGAACACAAAAAGAGAAATTTGAGTACTGCTTGTGATTTAGTTTGCTCCTCTACCCAGTTAATTGATGAGGATATATATATCAGTGAGTGTACAAGATGTTTAATCTTCCATTCTTTTTTGTTGGTCTCAGTTCCAAAGTGCTTCATGGTGCAAACAAATCAACAAAAACAGTGACTATTTCAAGATGCATAAGCAATACAACATGGCTCCCATGGGAAGATCAAATACTCTTTACAGGTTCAACTGAAGTTATTTGTTCCAAACTGGGTCATTTCTAAATATTATTCTGTACTAAGCTAAACCACTGGGAGAAAGGATGTCTATATTCTCTTCCTTCCCTTTGAATTTAAGGATATGCATTGTGACTATACATTATTTAATATTATGAAATAATCTGAATATATAACAATGTATGATATAAGTAAGATATGAAAAGTAACAAAAGGAAGAGCCCAAATTATGAAGTATTACATTTCGGATATTATTGAAGCCCTGGATGCTCTTTATTTTATCACTCACCCTGGCCTCCAGGGTAACCACTAATCTAGTTTCTTTCTGTGCTTCCCACTGCCTGTTTTAAAAATCTAATACATAAATATGGATGTGCCCTTAGCAATTCATTCCTTAGTTTTACGTGTTTTTGACCTTTATGTAATTAGTACTTTACATATACTTTCTTTTGTAATAATTTTTCACTCAGTATTAGATTTCTGAGATCCATCCAGGTTTATTTATGGATTCCCCTGAGAAAAATATTTTAAAATTGCTTCCAGTCAGCTATTATCATATGCAATGCTGCATTGGACATTCTTGTTCATGCTTCCTGATAGATAAGCAAAAGAGTTTCTCTAAACAAGAAATTACCAGATCATAAGAGATGTACTTGTATACATGTGGCCTATGTGGTAGGTGTGAAATCGTATTTCATTATGTGTTTAACTCAGAAATACGATCACTGGGTTACAGAATAGGTCAAATAGTTTTCCAAAACCCCTTGTATTTCCAACAGTATTTAAGATGGCCCACAGTCAGTGCAGGAGCTCTGGTGGCACAGTGGTTAAAGCATCCGGCTGCTAACCAAAAGATCAGCATGTTCAAACCCACTAGGTGCTCCATAGGAAAAAGGTGAGGCAGTCTGCTTCCATAAAGATTTACAGCATTGGAAATCCTTTGGGGGGCATTTCTACTCTGTCCTGTAGGGTTGCTATAGGGTCTCTATGAGTTGCAATCAACTCAGTGGCAGTGAGGTTTTTGTTTATTTTCAGTGTCTTTAATTTTTGCTATCCAGTGAAGGTAATCTCACTGTGGTGTCAGTTTGCATTTCTATGATTACTAATGAGGATTTTTTTATGTATTAATTAGCTATTTATGCTTTCTGTTCTGTTCAAGTGTTTTGCCCATATCATCCACTGTGATATTTATCTTTTTCTAACTGATTTATAGCAGTTCTTAGAATATTCTGAATAATAGTTTTAGATCATATTTCTGGTACATATTTTCTTCCAGTTTTGACTTCTCATTTCATTTTCAATATGTTGCTATTGTTACTGTTGTTGTTGTTGTTATGTGCCGTCGAGTCGGCCCCAACTCATAGCGACCCCTCCTTGGGTTTCCGAGGCAGTATCACTACGGAAGTAGGATTGCCCAACCTTCCTTCCGCGGAGTGGCTGGTGGGTTTGAACCGCCAGCCATCTGGTTAGCAGGCAAGTGTCTTAGCCACTATGCTACCAGAGCTCCCCTGCTATTGTTACTAGTTGCTATCAAATTGATCTTGATTCATGGTGACATCATGTATGCAGAACTGCTACATGGGATATTCAAGGATATGACCTTTTGGAAGCAGATGTCAGGCCTATCTTCTGAGTATGAACTGCCAAACTTCGGCTAGTAATCAAGTGCTTAACTGTTTGTATTACCTTATTGAGTTATAATTAACAGAAGTTCATCACTTTCATGTAACTAATTTTATTATAATATAATGGTTTGCATATTTTTTTGATGTTCTTAAAATAATCATTTTCAAATATAAAGTCATGAAATTATTCAGAGACTATTGTTCTAAAAGTTTTGAAGAATTTTTCACATTTTAGTTTTTTCTTTACCTGGAAAGCAGATATGTGTGCAAATGTATGTGAAGTGAGGCAGGAAATCACTTTGACTTTTTTCCATGTGAATAAGCAATCGTGTTACCACATTTTGTCAAATAATCCACACTAATGTGCAATGAAACCTTAACACATATGAGTTTCCAGATGTGTGGGCTTCTTTCTGGGCTCCCACTTAACATCATTAGTCTTTTTGATCCACCTCCATAATAACATGCTGCTTTCCTATT